ATGTCACATTTTATTTTAATAGTGCGTAATTGCGAACACTCATCAACGGCAAATTTTTCCGCTTGCGAACGATAAAACTAACGCGCCCATCACGAATCAATCTCCACACTAACGAAACAAGAGTGTTTCCGTAATTTAATTTTAACAATCTATTCCCCGATGGATATACGAGATAATCGGGAGACCTTTGATGATTGTTATATCATTTTGGCGATCATCTCGTATTACTTCATATCGACATAGTATCGATATTAGCAAAACGAACAAAGAATTGATAAGAGATTCACACGAAGCTGGATTGCGCAGATTAATCAAAACAAAAGAATTCTTTTTACCCACCTATTGTTCTCGAAGTTCAAGTGTACTTTTTACGTCCGTCTCGCCTGCACTGAACGTGTGTCTGACACACTCAACTCGAGTCGCGCGTCACCGCGTGAATATGCGATTATATGCAAGTTCGCACATCGACTGTCGCGCGAACAATCGCCGTGGACGCAGATTCGTGCGATTCGTAGCAGCACGCGATATCACTTTTCTTTCGTTCATGGGTCTTTTACACGTATACGTGTCGATCAACTAAATAATCAACAACTTGAGGCTGCGAATGCGATATACGCAGAAAAAAAAGAAAAACACAGTTACGGAAAGTGCTGAAGGATATTTCGAATTGGAGATAAGACAAGATTGATAAGATCGTTATGTAAAAAAAACAAAAAAAGTTTTTATTTAACTGAAATACTGTGTCAATGTTGATTGACAATTATGAGCTAGATACAAACATATAAATTGCGTAATAAGAAATTTCACACACTAGTGATGATGCACACTGCGGTGCGATTCTTTTCAGTTCTACGTAGTTACGTTATCGCAACTTCGTTAGAGGCAGAGTAATTGGACCCGTAATGACACATACAATAGGTCTGTTTTTTATTCTTTCATTGGACTATACTCTTATTTCTCACTTTCGTCAGATATCAAACATGTACTTTTAGTTTCAAAAGTATATACTAATCCGATCACAAAAAACAGACCTAATATGTAATCAAGACTAGACTACGTAACATCACACGTTGGACGGATAGAAATATATAAACATAAATAATAAAGATGTACGACGTGCGTTAAATTATTACTGAAGTACTCGTGCTGTTCATATCTTCTCGTAACTGTGTCCGATCCCGTACTCTCGCACACATCAAACTATACTCCAACACGCCGATTCGAATATTCATCTCGGAGATTTCATTCTTCATCCTCGTGATCATTTTCTTTATATTAATAAGCGGCGCTGTAAATATACATTTTAGAATAAAAATTAGATATTTGAATCACGTCGGAATAATATCTATACTTTCTAAATTCTTTGGAGTGGAATCTCATTGAGCCAGTTTAAAAAAAAAGAGTAGTTCAATTTTCAATCTTTAAGAGTGAGATTTACTCTAAACGTGTTGAAATAAATTTATACTTACTTCCATCAGTCATGCTGGAGCCTCTCTCATCCATTTCTCTCTTCACATGTTCCAATTCCTCCACTAATTTATTAAGAACACGCGTTCGTTCGGTCACACCACCACTAACGTCTCTGTACTGTTCCTTAACTTTCGATAATTCTTCCTACATTAATTATTATAATTGACATGTCACTATCTGTATGTGTAATTTAATGATACAATAATATTTAAGTTAAATATAAAAATATAATATTTAAAAATATATAATTGAATAACTCACTTGCAACGAGCGATAGTCTGTTAAAGATGGTTCGAGTTGCTTGTTAAGATAAGTTTCCCTAGTCTTAATCTTGTCTAAAGTGCTCCCGATATCGGTGTAGATTTTGTTCAAGTGGACCTTTGTACCGCTCAGATTGGTCGCGATATTCGTACGCAATTGTTTCATCTGCTCGAGATGCGCTCTCCAATCTCTTGAATCTACGATACATTAAAGTATGTAATAACGCTCGTTTTACTTAACCGAAATAAAATATATTCATTCAAAAATATTTAATACCTGTCTTAACAGTCACTTTCAAACGAGGTAGAACTTTTTCTAATTCTAATTGCCACTCTTCCCTGTTAGTCGTAGATTCTAAAATGCTGTCTAATTTTTGCGTCTCGCTCTGGAATGTAAAAAAATCTAGTTGATGATTTTAATAACAATATATATATTACGTTATTTAAAATTCTCCTCTAAGAATAAAATTTCACCTACAATATTTTGTCCGTAAATTTTTGTAATATCATCTATATGTAAGATATCTTGATCGTCGTCGTCATACTCAGCCATCATTTCCTCCTCTACTTTCTCCAAGATTAATTCTGCATCGTCATCCTCGATATCTGGTTCCGGAGTAGGTTCATCGGGTGGAATATTTATCCTGATGTTAATCGCAGTTTAATAATTTATTTAATTTAATGAAACTTACAATGGAAACTACCAATTGTTGTACCTTTTCCATTTGAACTGTACGACCTTTAAAGCGTTATCAGCCAAATTATCCAAAACATAAACAGCATGTTCTCCACTGCCCTGCTTCAGTTTATTGGGTGGGAATTCCACGGGTATATCGATTTCTCTGAGATAATCTAAGATCAGAGCTATTGTGGAATTAGGATCATCTGATTCTTGTGGTATTTCAAAGTTTTTTCCTGCTTTTCTAATCAGCCATGCAGCCAGACAAGTAAACGTATAAAATTGTTCACCAGGATTTGTTGGAATTACAAAGTGATGCCTGTTTTTTCAATGTTTACGATTATCTTATCAGATATTAAATAGAACATACTGCATCAACATTACGATATCTCACCTATTGATTGGCTTTATTTTTAGTTCTTGTACAAATTCCTCATCGTAATTCAACAACTTCAATTTCTCCAACATATCTTCCATTCGAATGTTTATAACATACGATGCCGACGGAGCACTTCCGTCTTCCACGACGATTTTTTGAGTATCTCGAAACATGTTGCTGGCCTTTTCAATATGTATTGTATTGAATCTATAAAAAGATTAGTAAACCCTTTTAATGAAAATATTGCATGAATAAATTAAACAGCTCAAATAATAATAATAAATAAGTAAAATAAAATTCTTAATTATCAAAATTGTAAACAGAAATTGTGCTTAAAATTAATACATAGTTAATAATTAAATCTCTAAATTCCTTGTGATAGAATCTCACTCTAAAGAATGAAAATTGAAATAGTTTTGAAAGAGCATTAAAAAAGTCTTTAAAAAAATTTCAATTTTTAAGAATAAAATGAAAAAAATTTCATTTTTCAAAGTAAAATTAAAAAAATTTTAGAGAGGATGTACTCACTAGATAGTTGCAACGCAGCCTTGTATCTCTAATATTTACTTCTAAATTCTGATGTACTAAGAACTAGCAACATACTGTATCATTCGTGTGTGGCGACGGAAATCGAGAAATCAATTAATCAAAGAATTGATTAATCAATTGTGTGTTGTAATACAAACATTGTCATAATTCATCGATTAGGACCAACTAAAGGTAAACAGGTTAAGCTGGTCTTTTGTGTTGATAAACATCGACGGCATCACAAATGTGACTTCTAAGACTTTTCTGAAAAATCAATAGCTTTCACAATCAATCGTCGTTTAGCCGTCGACGAGTTTAACGTGTTTGATCACAATATAAAAAAAAATAGCAAAATGCAGTGATCAATTGGAAATTTATTCTGATCGCAACAAATCGAACCAACTTTAACCAAATTTCGTTAGTTTAATTCTCACTGATCGTCTCGTGATTATTTTTAAATGTTCGTCCATCAATTTCCGCAATTTCTTCCATGTTTTCAAAGGTCAAATTATTCGTTGACAACTCATGTATTTATCGCTGTCATCGCTGATAGCGCCTGCGTTGTGAGTGCTGCGTGTATCGTATTTTTTTTTTATACACCAAAAGTACAAAATCTACCACTAGATGGCCATTGTCTATACGATTAATTTTCGTTGCGTCTGATTTTTAGATAATAATCATAAAATTTTTATTAACGATATGTCAAGACATTTTACGTTTAATGAAATATTTCATGGAGATGCTCGAGATGATGTTTGATCGCAGTAGATTCATTTGGAACATCGGAGATAAAAAGTCATCGACTTCTCGCATGTGCTCCAGAACTGATAAATTCGTATATATAGCGCCTGGAAAAGAGCGACTTACGGAAGCGTGTGCTAGTGATGGCACAACTGAACATTGATCGCTAACGTTAGAGCTATGGCAGATCTGCTCAGTGGGTGTTGTCACGTTGTCGTAAGCTTCAAGTAGCTTGAGTGTCAGACTCCCGATTGCGCATGCATCTTCGTGGCTCGTCTTACGATCACGGATTTGCACGCCTGCACGGTCTGAGTCTTCACGTCACTCCTCGAAGTACCGCGATTTCCAAATTGGGGGGCAATCGAATAGGTCAGACGAGGTAATTTGTCGCTTCCATATGCAGGCACTGCTGATGGCGGTACGCCATTTTTTGTCCTTTAAATTCACCAATCCTTTTGTAATTTGGAATTTTTTCTGCCTTTCCTTCAACTCGGTCTTATTAGGCTTGTTTTTTTTAGCTGAACTTTTGCCACCAGTTCATCTTTCTTTGTCTTTTCTCTTGGAAAAAAAGGAAGAAAAACTGGTGCAAAAGTTCAGCAGTTTAGCTAAAAAAAAACCAGGCCTATTGTCTCATGAAATCTTTGAATTGACTAATTCAAGAAGAAAAGCTACGAGCCAAGTAAGTTCTTTAATGTTAAACAAACGAACATTTCGATCCCAATGGGATCATTATCAATAAAAAGAATACATTTAATTTGAATTGACATTAATAGTAAATAAGTGACACAAGTATTTTTACTTTCGTACAAGAGAAAAAAATGTTGCACATCTTTACAGACTTTGATTTGGGAAATTAGACTGTGACGATTACATTAGTTTCTAGGATTATTTCTTATGAGTTCTGGGAATCGATTTAAAACAATATCGCCAATGAATGATATAATTGAGAATGTTATTGTTATATTTATATGTACGAGAAGTTTTCATTTTTATTTCAAAGTACAAAATGGCTTCGTCAAGCTTCGATCTTTTTCTGCGTCTCGCTATTAATCTCTGAAGAAATTTGCGTGAAGAGGAGATTCCAATTCCAAACTTCATCCGGTTCCTTCACTAAATTCTCATTGTACAATTTGTCTGCAAGGAGAGAAAGGCTGACGCCGTCCAACGATGTATATGCAGCATTTTTTACCAAATCAGTATCCAATTCCTCGTACGCAGTTACTCTATTTGCGTTGACTCTAAAAATTACACATCACAATTTAATTCATCTCACAATATATAAAAAAATTTCTTTTTTACTGAAATAATAATAGTAAGTTATTCATATAATAATGTAATATTATAATTAAAAGAACAAAATAACTTTCGTAAAACAAAGATACTTATAATTTTTTATTTTTAGTACTCTTTCTCTTTCTATTGCAAAAGAAAATTAATTAATTATTATTTTTCATCTAGATTGTAACTATAAATTACTTTGTGTGCATTTTATGCAAGAATTTTAATATAATTTTTATTATAAAAATCTTCAATAATAATAAATAATAAAAATAAAGATTACTTACGTGGGAGCACTTGCAATGTCAGATGAGATGTTATCTTCTTGGATTTCATCCAAATCTGGTATAACTGGAATATCTATAAATACAGAGATCAATAATATGAAGAAGTAATGAGTAAAGAAGTATATCAATTTTTTTATGTCTATTTTTGTGAATATTGAAAAATTACATTAATAAAAGAATTGATTTAAATGAAATAAAATTATTAATTAAATAATTGGACAATATATAAACTCTTAATATGATTTTTCCTAAATTAGCTCACCATCTTCTTGTTCCTCCTTTTCAATCACTCGAAAACGTTCCCTAAGAAATAGGTTTATCAATAGCTAGATACTTGATTCTTCACTTTTATGTATTGTACTCACTGTTCAATGATATTTGACGTCGCCTTTGATCTGTGCAATGAAAAAAAATTGTTGTCTTACTCTAACTGGTTGTCTTAAACATTAACAAATTTTAATTCAGTTATACATTTGTCATTTTTTGTAATATATATCTTCTTCTGGATATATAATGTAAACTCCACTACAGAGAATTATTGTTTGCATTAAGTAAAATTGGTGGGTTCGCTTATTGCAGATTATAAATTAATATAAGTCTAACACGAACTTAAGATATGAATATGTATGCAATATGAATTTTTGAATGTCTTTTATTTCTTTTTTCATTTACGTGCACTTAACTTTTATGAAATAAACTTTTTAATCTTCTCGAAACACTAGAAGTCGATGAAAGTAGATGGAAAAAATAGATAATAAAAATCTGCTGCTGTTACAAATAGTGTCGTTACACATAAATGACAAAAAAAAATCGAAAATTCTTATTGCTCTTGTCGACTTTATAATTAAGTTACAATTTACTTACTTGCCACTTTTCAATTCGTCACCCCAGCCGGTTTTTCTCAACCGAGGTGGAACTATTGGTCTTTGCATAGATACAGACTTTCCGGATGATAAGGAAATAGGACTCTCCAGAGGATCATCATCGGATTTATTATCTTCTAGCAAATTATTCTGACCTGCACGTCTACCTAGACGAGGTAGTAGCTGCAAATTGATCAATGCACATTTAGAATTTCTTAAAACTATATATCATATATATCTTTATATAATTAATTCTCTCATTAATATTCTATAGACTTGTCCAATTTGAACTCCGGAGCCAAAATGCAAAGCCATCGACACAAAAAAATGTGGATGAGATTTCGGGGACTGTCAAGTGTTGATACGCATTTAAGTGATACTTACATAGTTCCTCAACACTACATAGTTCCTAAAATCTTACTCACTTGAATTCTTTTACGTCGATGGCTTTGCATTTTGGTTGCGGAACTCAAATTGGACAGGCCTGCTCTATAGGGACTTGAGAAAATTTTAAGACCTTACCTTTTTCGAAGTGATCTCAAGATCGTTAGCCCAATCCATCTTTATTCTTTACGCAGTATTAAAACATGCGTCGAAGTATCAGGTGAATGCCCCAGTGTTGTAACTTAAGGCACTTAAGTCAGACTTTACGGTACATTTGACAAATGTATGGCCGCTGCTTACATTTGCAAGCGGTAACCATAACGACCGACTTTATTCCTACACATACATACACTAGTAGCCACACAATTAATTTTACATGTGCATAAGATGAGTACACGTATATGTATTCATGTAGAAATTGAAGATTGCTCAACTTATCATGATACTTACAATTTTTTATATGAGAAAATGAAAATTCAGAAGAATTACTCATTTTTCAAATTGTCAATTCGCTTATCTAACAATGTCAGATTATCAAATCGCTTGCTTGAAAGAAAATTTCTTTTAGGTTTTGATTGTTTCCTCTCTCAGTCTTTGCTATTTTATTTTAGGGAAGAGCAACGGTATATTTTACACTGTGAGGAGGATACTGCTAGGAAATCACCTTCTTATTCCCTATGCTTCTTCCCTTCCCTATATCATGTTAAGGCGTGTATACAACTGAACGAATGACCAGTCATGGGAACAGAATGCTAAGCATCGTTCGTTCGTATTCATTCGTGTTTTATCTAATTTATGTTTATCGAATGGGATGATAAGAAAATTCCAAATAATTTAATAATAAATTTGATTTTGCATTTGTTGTTCATTATTCATTAGATTAATAAGTTATTTTTAGTGTAGATTTATTCAAAACTTTCAAATAGAGTCAACATAAGAATGTTAAATTCTCTCTTAAAAATCAATGTCGCAAACTAACGTTTATAAAGGAATGGATAATTTTTAGATACTCTACATACTTATTTTTAATCATCAAAATTATTTTCAAAAATAATGCTGTTAGTATACATCTTTTTTTTCAGTGCAGTAGTTACTGTTATAACATAAAAAGTATATATAAAAATTATGCAAAAATTTATTGTTATATAAACAATTTTAGAAATATTGAAGTAATAGAATCATATCATGAATAAAGTCATTCATGAATAAGAATAGTATATTCGTCAACGTCCATACTACGGGCTAAAGTACCAGTTCTCGTCTGATCACTGAAGTCAAGCGACGTTAGGCACGGTTAGTACTTGGATGGGTGACCGCTTGGGAACACCGTGTGATGTTGACATTTTTTTTTGCATTTTTCTCTTATAGTAAAAAAATGAATAAAAATGATTATTATTATCTTGCAGTAATTATTTAGCCGATAATTCTTAAAACATTTATTACATAAAATGAAAAAAATTTGACAAATACATACAATGTAAATATATTAAAACTGTTTGTAATAATTTATTCTCGGGCGAAATTATCGCCCGAATATTAAGAATATGTCAATGTTCTATTTATAAATATATGATCGTTTTTCTCGTCTGGCCTAACGAACTCAAAAAAAAGTTCCAAAAGTATTCGGAACAGTGTATCTAGCGATCGCCAATCCGTTTATTATAAAATCATATGTCATCGCGCCGATGTGCATTGTGCGTTTATCATGTCGAGAAATATTGCGCATATGCTTAGAATAAACGGCGTTTGTCGGATTCATATGACATATGACACGATCACACTCGTTCATTAAACCGGAGAGGAGAGGAATCCTGTTGTGATCTGCTGAATGTCAACAAAAAAAAAAATAAAATATCGATCGGAAAAGCAGTAATCAAGAATGCTGATATATCAGAAAAAAAAGCAACACAATGCTATTAATTATGTTACTCAAGTTCTTGAAAATAATATTAAAAAAGATATTGCAACAAGTAAGAATTCGATAAAAATATGACTTAAAAATACAACATACATTGCTTTGTCGAATAATTTCAGTAATTGTATGATGTAGAAAACAAGATTTTATTTTTTTTTTACATTGTTTAGTTATTATTCCTTAAATATAAATTATAAATGAATAATACTTGTATGTGGAACACCGTGTGATATTGCACATAATTTTTTTGTATTTCTCTCATTCTAAGAAAAGTAAGCAGCTTGGGATTTCGTTAATATCCCATCGCTGTTTAATCAATTAATAATTGTCTTAATATTTATATCATCGCGCGAAAGAAGAAAATAATTATTATGTGGTCAATACACATGGCGTTCTTTTCAACATGATATATTGATACAAAACTAAAATGTAATATACGAAATAGATTTAATGAAATAAGAGATAATAGAAAATAAATATAAATCTTTCAGACTACTCTCTTTTGGGAACACAATTGAAGTGGAAATTAGGCAAGTTATTGCTCTTTTTTGGTACAATTGCGACGGTATCGTATCTCAATAATCTTTCGCACTTTCCACTTGATGTTGATACTCTTCATCATCCGGATTTATCTCACAGTCATTATTATTATTCGGTATTCTCACTTCGTTATACCTGTAACGTAATAAAAATACGTAAGAAAATTACGTAAGATAAATGACAAGATGCCGTAAGATAAAAATACGTAAGATAACTCTCTAAAGAGTTATATACAAAGTGTATAAGCGAAGGTAATAAATCATATCATATCAAAAACAATAAACATTCTATCATAAATCTCGTTCGTTAACGTTGCCTGCCAAATCAGCTTTGTATATCTTATCATATAACAGTAGAATTTCATTTGGATCTAACGTGAATAAACAGGTAAATTTTGTAATAAAAGAAATTATCATTTTGACTTTCTCTTGACTTGGTGCGTTTCTTGGGCGAGAATAGGTACCTCGTGAAATCACCCTTACAAAGTCGCCAAGGCAACAAGTCGATCTTGTCGTGCAACAGAGGCGAGATTTCCGGACTGACGATGTACGGTGTGCCGGCGCCGGAGCCACGGGTCAGTAGTTTTCTATTCTCATCGTAACAACAATGTTGCACGATAGCGCTTTCACTTTGCTGAGACGCTAAAGTCTGCACGCAATAAGCGGCACCAGGTTTGTAGATCGCGAGCCGGTCCTTGTCGTGGCTCACGTCGCGCCATCGATACTTCTTCTGTTGCTTCTTATCCCAGATCTGGTTGTCGTAGAAGATGGTGTTCGGATACAGGCAGGGGCACGCTGGCAAGTCGGCGACGGATCCTGCGGACACGCACACCCACACAAACACACGTCGGACGTCGTCCACGTACTCTCGCCAAATTTCATTTAGCGAGCTCGATTTATGAAGTTTCGTTTTTTACCCGGAAAGGCATTCTCGATCTTCTCCCTGTTGTCCAGCCACTTCTGACAGCGATCTTCATCGTCGAAGCTGCTCGTGTCATCAATGGCACTCGAGTTCGATACGTCCGAATTCGACACATTTCCAGTATTGTTCTCCAACGCTTCGATTAATCTTGCCAGGACGGACTCCAATCCTCCGTGAAACGGATAATAATTATCAAGAGTTTCGCGAATATGATGTATGTCGTCCACGTCATCGTTTTTGTCCTTGTAATTCCAAACATTAATGCTTTTCAGCTCGTGCTCTTCCTCATAAAGATTGCTCTCGGAAATTTTTACGACAGGAACGCGATCCGTCTTCCGCCGAGATCCTTTACCACCCTTACGAGGACGATGCGTCGTACGGTTTCTGGGCCGCGAAGAATTAGTTCTCTGTCTGTGTTTGTTGTCATCATCTTTTTGCTTCAACGAAATGGGTGTCGTCGAAATATGATTGTATGATTTCGTACGAGTTTCCTTACATTCGACATCTCGCACATTCGTAGAAATTTGTGCCTGAAAAACAGAAAATAGTGAGTTCAAAAACATCGATTATTGCATTGCGATGATTAGGAGACTAATTGTAAATTCTATTATTTCGGATATAAAATCATGATGATGATATCAAATCAAATGACGAATAACCGATTATCTTATAACTTTCTCTTTCTATGTTTTTGATATTTATGATAAGACATTTTTATTAAGACATTTGAGCAAAATTATGCCGATTAACTAAAATATTTTCTGAAAAATTAAAAAATTTTTTTTAAGTCTAAAATCATGAGATTTTTAATCCCTAATTGTAACATATTATAGATGACATCGAGTCTTAGGAACACCTTTAAAAATCTGAAAAAAAAGGCGCTTTCCTTTTAGGAGATACAGATGCTTTCCATTTGGTAACACAAGTGTCGTTCTATCTTTGTTACTCACTGAGTACTTGAATCCCAACAAAGAATGATGTTTGCGACTTGTGTCATCAACTAGAAACCATCTCGTTTCTCTTGGAAAGCACAAATGTCGTTTCATCCCTCTTGGTATTCAATGGATAATAAAAAACGATATATGTCGACTATTGCTACATTTATATGGCATCTTTAAATTGAAACTGGCTAATCACAGTCATTCTATTTTTCAGAGGAATAGCCAGTTTGATTGGCCAGTTTCATTACGAATTTTATTAAACGATTAAGGAAAAATGTCGTGTAAAATGTAGTCATATTTAAAAGGAAGGCAGTTGTAAAAGGAAAGATAACGACGAATGCGTGTCAGAGACACGCAACGAGACACGCAGAATATCTGTTTATCTCGAGCTGCATAAGTAAATGCGATCACAGGAGAACGTATTATGCTTCGCGCGTATCAAGAAGCGATTGATCAAAACGGAGAGATCGATGACCGGCGTGACTACGCGCGATATACGTAAAAGGCTGACACGGTCGCAGCGACATCAAAGGACGCCGGCATTTGACGCGTGGATAAGAAGAACGCGGAGGCGGAGAAGAAGAGGGACGACAATCACCGGGAGCGAAGGGGCAGAGCGTTTACTTCTGAGAAACGGCACGCCGCAAGATCGTTTCCCGTCAATGGCGTAGCCGCCTGTTGGTAGCGAGACAGATTTTCGACATGCACCGAGCGAAAATGACGAGAGCAAAGACAAATGGAGTGGTCAAGTAATATAAGAATCAAGCGCGAGTGAGTTCCTTGCCATGAATACTTTCGGGTAGTAAACATTCGAATTTTAATGGGAATTTTCAAAGCGTTGAATTATAGAAAAAAAGTGCAAATGTCGCGTTTGAAACTAATAATTTCTTACGTGAGTCCTTTGAGAAAATCTGGATAATCTTCAATATCTCGAAAGTTTTACAAATTCAGAAAATCCCTCTTTTTGAAGTGCTCAAGTAAATCATTTAAAATTGTCGAAAGTAAAATTATTATCTCTGCAAATTGAAATGATATGTAAAATATTACGAAAGTAAAAATTTTTGAACTATTCAAGATTTTCGATATATTCGAGATTTTTTTTTTTTTTTAGATATTTCGGGTTTTTCAAAACTTCTTTGTTTGAAATAATAAGATTTTCGTGTATTCGAAGCGCTTCCATCATACTGTTTTTCTCGAACTCATGTTAGCTTCAGATATTGATTTCTGGAAGTTTTTAAATATGTCTTGTTTTTAAAACATAGTTGACCGAGTAAAACTTTATTACAATAAATATAAATAGAGTAAATGAAACAGGAATAAAAATAGAGAAATGAAGAAAGAGGATCTTGATTAACTACTAATAAATTGTAGAATTATTATTATAAAATAATTCGCGAAATTATATAGATATATAATTATATATCTATATTAAAGTAGAGAAGAAATAACAATATTAATATATAATATTAATAATTGATAACAGTATAATAGGGAAAATAATAAAAATTTTTTGAGATTCTTTTTCTACAAAATCTCGAATGGAATATTTATACGTATTAAAAGGAAAAATACCGATTATCAAGGAGAAGAAAATTTGAATTTATAATAATATGACTGGTCATGTTTTAAGGGTATTACGTATACAATAAATGACTTACTAAGAGAGGATTTCGAATAAATTAGATAAAACAATGCGCTATCAGCACTACTCATTTTCTTTTCTATTCGCAAATTAAATTTGCGATTCTATTTTCGGTGCATTAAGCAAGAGCGACTTCACCATCGCTGAAAATAATAATTATATAAGTAAAAGACGAAATCAGACGAGAGCTTCACAGAGGATGACTCTCCGATCGTAAATGAGAAGTTCGAGGAAATGAATTATCTTGTCGTTTAATTCATACTTACTTCGTCGCAATCCTTGTCGTCGTACGAAGCGACGAAGATCGTGTGAAAAACTACCGCGACGCAAATCACAAACAGCGCTTTCATTTTGTCGCTCCGGGCTCCGATCTCGACGATACGTATAAGCGGCGTTCCACTTCTCAGCTATACTCGACCTTTCGAACATAACTAACGTGCCTTCACAATCGATACCCAAATACTCGGCAAATCACTCGAGGCATCTGCTCGTCTGTTTACCCTCGGGACGTAACGTCCCGATTTTTCCCGTCGTCGTTCCGACTGACGAACTTGGGGAAAATCGGTGTTCGGTTTTGTTTGTTTACCAGCCGCATTCCAAGCGCGCAGGTAACAAATACCACCGACGCGGTGGATACGCGCGGTAGAAGCTGCGGGGAAGCGAGCCGACCGATGACGCGTGATGTAAGACGGACGATAGGCAAAAGAACGAAGAGCTGAGGGTTCGGAAAGATCCCGAACGGGGGGAAAGGTAGGCGCACGCCGTTCAAAGGCCTACCACTAGGCGCATAGTTGTGAACCGGTGAAGTCTGTCCCACTGTGTGTTGTGTGTAACAGCCGGCGATGGACGGAGGGAAAGATGGATGGAAAAAAAAAAAGAAGAGAAGAGGAAGAGAGAGAACGAGATAGCCTAGCCTGACAGCCCTGATGGCCTGATGGTGACCCACGGGACATCACCGTGTCGTCGTTGTATTGGGCGCTATGACGTACGGTCGTCTGCATTAACCCTCAATTATGGACGTGGAGCCCCGGCGACTCCTAGCTGCCACTTATTTCGCAATTTTCTTCATTTATGTTTCCTTTTTTCTAGAGAAACAGATAAAGCTTGATTCCGTGCACATTTAATGGTGAAACGTACGAGCATGAGAGCAATTACTTTATTTTCCCTTCTTCTATAATTTTTCGGACTTGTTGTTAGATTGGTTGATTGATAATTTATTAAGATTGCGCGAATGAGAATTTGTTTTTTTCTTAGTCTTCCTTGTTTCTTCATTTGATTTTACTTCTCATCAGCTCTGCCAACCTCAAAGTTTTCTTATTTCCTTTCGAATAATAATCGATCATTTCTTCTCGTAGGATCCTGTTAATTAAGTAAAGATTCCGTAACATCTAATCATTCTGATCTCGTAAGCTTTGATTACCGGCAACTCATGATAGTTTGTTCGTTGTCGCATCAAATCTGCATGTGATCTTCGAAAAGTAAACATTAAAATATACCCCTCGAGCGTGATGGAGAAAGGAGGAATATAAGTACTTTTTCGCCTTCATTTCTGTCAAGGCAGATTAACCTTAATTTCGGTTTAACTTATTTTTTTCTATTTCTAAGAATTATGCCTGTTTCTGCCAACGTAGATTTTGCGGTCCAACTTGCTCTTTCTTTCTCTAATTCTTGAAGTAGAAAGAAATAAAGAGTTAATTGAATTAAACTACATTTTTAGAAACGTTAGAAAAAAAATATAAAATACATTAAACCCGGATCAAAGTTAATTTGATCAACATTGATAGAAATGGATGTAACGTTTAGCGCTGATCCTTTTATGACGGATGGAAAGTTTCATATTTTTCTCCGAGTACATAAAGTATGATAATGAGCTTTCCTACACGTCGAAATCCTTGGGGAGCAATCGCTCCCCAAAACTGTTGGATAATGATGTGCGTGCGTGTGCGTGCGTGTGCGTGCGTGTGCGTTTCGCGTGCGCCATGCACGCCCGCGTATTACGAGGATCTAAATACAACGGGTGGAATGCAGCGGAACGCGTTCCAGCTATTTTTAGCCGGGTCGATTCGAAAATACACCCACTGCGGATTAAATATAGCCGGGGATATGCGTGTGCATGCGTGTCCACGGAATGCACGCGGCGGCACGCGAGCGATCGCGAGCGATCTCGAGTGACGCGCGAAACATGCAAATTCGCGCATTGTCCTCAAACCTGCTCCTCCTAGTGATATGTACTTAAGAATAATTACTCTGAATAATAAATACTTAAGACAATCTCAAATATAAAAATCGACTACTGAATACCGGCCTTCGATTCTTATTGATTTGAGATTGTCTTAAGTAGGGGAGACCGGAGTTTCAGTTGACTATAGTAGAATAATCGAGGCTACATTAAAAAAAAAACACGCGAGATACGCGTAAACGTGTCTGAGCACGCAACAGCGATTGCCGCTCAGTCTGCTGTAACATCTTGTTGCGAACACATCTATCTAACGAACATATTCCATCTCTGATGGAAGTTATGCCACAATTTTAAAAAAATCGTACACCTAAGTAAATATTTTTATTCTTAAAGTTTTTGTTTTACAATCGTATATAGATTGTCTGAGATATGTGATTTCTGCTTAGATAGTAAGTGCAGTTCTTACTTAAAGTCCGACAGATTTTTTTTTTGTTTATGTGTCTTTGTTATCGTATATTGTTAATGTTTTTAAAAAATGAACGAATGGGAATAGTAGACTAACCACAGCAACTGTATGATTCATGACTCTTATAGTACTTACTCGAAATTTTAGTTCTTTAAAGAGATTTTCCTCCGTGGTAAATGTTATAAGTTTAATTCCCTCGTGTCTCGAAAGAGACTAGATTCATTCAATGTGTTTTTGCACGAAACGAATTTTGCAAAAAGAAACATTGTTTTGCCCTGCGAAGCGAACGTTTGTGTTTTAAAATATATTTTTATAAAAGTTTTATTAATATGTAGCCAAAGTTGTAGCTTAAAATGGATTAATCTTTATTTTAATAATCTTAGTCAAATTACCCCGATCCCTAGTTGAATCAGATGGAATGCATTAGAAAAATGCATTTTTTTTTATATTAGTTATCAGTTTCTCTTTATTATTAAAATATTATTAGTCAAATGTATATAGTAACTGGTAGAATTAATTTTTTCTATAAGTCTCTTAATTTCGTCTGTAAAAATTCGAAACTGAAAAATAAGTCTACAGCCCCGGCCTCACTTACAGACTTAAGATGTCATAAGCCAATCATAGGGCTATATTAGCATCTTAAGACATTACTTAAGACGATCTTAAAATAAAAACGAATTATGAATACCGCTTTAAGAGACGAACGGCGAACACTGAATCGGTGTCAAAGGAGGATAGAATATAGAACAATAGAAGTCTGTACACGAAAAGGATGATTTTGTGGAAGTTTAGCTAGATGTGGAAATAATTTTGTTCGATCATCAAAATAATTATATAGAAATCTCAAGCATCCTGAACAATGGAATAAGTTTTAACATTCTGTATAGCAGTTTTACATAATTATTTTGATGATCTTAATAGAATTATTTTCTTAACAAAATTATCTTTACAGACCTGTATCTAGCTTTTTTAATACGCCAACAAACCATCCTTTCCATATATTGAGATATAAAATCCGTAGATGTTAGAAAATGCCAAGACAGCTTGTCCATTATTTATCACAACTTTTTATATCAACGAAAAATTAAAAATTTTAAATGATTAATATATATAATCACAATAAATAGACTCAATAAATTATAATTAAAATTTTCATAAAAGAAATGCTACAAGTCAATGCTAGTTAGTAGATGCTTACAAATAATTAATACTTAAGAATAAACTATTCTTATTCCTAGATCGATTATACTTGTTGAAATAATTGTAAATTTAGACATATCGTAAAATGTTATGTTTTTAAAGAAATTGTAATACTTTTTTTTTTTTTTTTTTTAAATAGAAAAATGTACATTTTTTTCATTGTGAATTACACTTCTACGTATTTTTACGGAAATAAGAGGGAAGGGATTGGAGTGAATGAATATAAAATTAAGACTAAATAATGAGACCCCTCGTGGCCCTCGTTATGCTGGCACGTGTGCTAAAAAAAACGAAGAAGGTCACGGTATACTCGAGGAGGGGAGGGAGAGGGGGGGGGAGGAAGAACGAAAACAAGCCGGGGTACCAAGTGACGTTTCGTCGAGCGAATATGCCGCGTGATCGCCTGTAATTTCGTTCAATCTTGCGAAATTGCGCGATTTCACCGCGGGACAATTATTCAATCGAGATTTTGATCGCGTCTTATTTTACTCAATCTCGTAGGGTCGCAGACGAGACCGATTACGGCGTAATAAAAATCCCGCGCGATTTATCGTTGCTGGAAGAAACTGCGCGTATTCGCGAAAATATTGGCAAAAACGATCACGATTTTCCTATTCCTCAATTTTTTACTTAATCCTCTATAACGTCACGTAACGTGAAAATTATATATTTATATATCTACATTTTTTTTAAGTGTTCACGAAAAACACTTTTATAATTGTTGTAAGATGCTTTGATATATAATTTATACATTTGGATTCAATGAGAAATTAAGAGCAAGAACTAATTACAAAGAATTTTATAAGAGTGTCAAAGTACAGAAAATTGCTTAATTTTTCTATTGAACGCAGCCAATGTTTCTCATTTATTGATTTATATAACAAGCAGAAAAATAAAAAAATGAATTAAAATATATTTTTTATCAAGTAGGAAGTATAATATAAACAAGCTTGTTGCGTGAAATCATAACGAAAATACGATCGCTCGACCAGTAGTGATCATTCGCATTCCGCGGCTGCAATCATTTCTGCAATCCGAGAGGCGCCGTTGACGATCGCCGTTGTTGTCAGCCGGTTTGCCTCTGTAAATTATCATCCCAGCAATTTTGCTGCCAACGAAAACAAGCTGAGTAGCTCTCAGTCGAGGAGGACGCATCGCGACGAGACAATAAAAAGACAATGCGTCGTTCATATCCCGCAAGATTAAAACCTAATTTACAGTGTTCCTTACTTTCTATTTCTTATTACTTTTAACTACTTTTTACCTCTTGCTTTTTTGCCTTTTATCCTGTTTCTTCGTTTTCTGCCCAGAATAAAAATTGACGACTTTCGGAAGAGACAAACACGTGACAATATGATATATGATTGTTGAGATAAAACGGCCGCGAAAACGGAAAAAGGTAAAAGGTAATAGCGAATTTTATTGGACTAATAGTATCGATGCATATTAAAACCGTTGTACACAGATATAAAAATATGTAAAACCGATATAAAAAAATATAAATGTTGACATAAAAATGTTTAATATAAATATAGAAATAAATAGAAATAAATCAAATCTTCAACACACTTTATTGTACAGTTAGATAAAATATGTGAGAAACAGGATGTAAAGAGCACATTGTAGATTAAGCTTAAATCTCGCGAGAGATGATTGTTGAACTTCTCCTTTTGGAAGATTCTCTTCATCTGTAAAAGAGAGATCGGCAGGGTTTACGGTGGCCAATAATTCGAGTCACAATGTCGCTTGAGTATCATTTTATTTGTTGTTTTTTTTTTATTTTCGCTATAAATAAATTCGGTGAGATGTATCGGTGTTTATATATGTACACGCATAGCTGAGCAACACCCGCCTAATTCTACGTTTACAATTATAGCAATAATTTAACGGCGCTACAGTATATATATTCTAATAGTACACTAATCAGATATACTTCATTAATCATTTATGTTATTGATTATATACGGCATTTTTACTACGCGCACTTGGGAATGTCTTATGTACAAAAGTAGCTGCGAATGGCGTGTCGATTACTCATTACGAACCTCCGGGAATGACAGCGTCAAGAGAATTCTCCGTTAATTCATTAAAAGCCATAATTATATGAGATTTGAGTTAGTAAAAAAGTTAATAAAAAAGGTCAGAACACGTTATAAAAATGTACGGAATGAATTCCGATCTAAATTATTCTTTTCTTAGAAAACTCCAATATAAATCTACTCTAAATTTTTTGGTCTTAAGAATGAAAATTCTGCCACTCTTTTTTCAGAATGGTAGAAGTTTCAATTTTTAAGAGTGAGATTTTATTCTTTAGAGTGAGATTCCACTTTAAAGAATTTAGAGATTAGGGAATAATAACTTCAATCGGAATCCATTCCAATTCCACAAATAATGATCATAAATAAATATTCAAGCCGCTGTTGTACTGAACACTTTAACAACAAAATAGTCGAATAGGAGAATCAAACGCCATCGATCAATAGTTTGGCTATTTACAATGAGAACGAATTATTTCGTAATTCTTAGCTGCAAGAAAAAATGAGGTAACGATCAACTTATTTATTCTATGAAAACATCATCTCAAAATTTAATCTCCATATTGCAATATAAATCTCCATTCCTAATCTCCTTCAATAACTTCGCGGTAGTTTCCTTTAGCGCAACAGAAAAGAATTAATTCATCACGAATCAGATCTAAAAGCCTAGACCTATTTTCTCTATTTACCTCTCTACATATTTCTTCCTTCCTTTACGTATCACTGTTTTCTGCAGCGTTTATTTTAATCATGGCCGACACCTCGGAAGCGATCAGGTTTTCCTCCCTCTCTTTTTCTCCTCTTAACGACATCCGCAATGGTCCGCGATCATGTCCTCGTACATCTTGAGCACAACGTTCTCGTTGTCGTCGTAGAAGAGAATGCTGGTGCTGAGCAACTTGGTCGGCACGCAGCAGGGCCTTTCGACGTCCTTAGCCATCTTGTGTACGATCGCCTGTATCGTCGCATGATTGGTCGGCCGTTGGTTTTGGCTGAGAGGTGGCTCGCACACGCCCTTGCATTGATACGCGGAATAGCCAGCCGGCGCGATTATCGAAGATGACAACCCGATGTCGTGGAAGTCCACGTAGAGCTCGTGCCTTGTGCACTCGGTCGCATTCCCTGATCGCTCCGATGCTGAGCTCTGGCTGCTCGCCGATCGCGCCGATCGATGACGTCGTCCTGTGACCGACGTCGATCTGTTCCTCATCACCTGTCCCAGCTTCTCGCGAAACATCGCTCTCTCGTAGATGTCCATCGATGTGAGGATTCGTGTGGTTCGTGAGCAATTTTTCGACACGATGCCACAGGAAGTGCGTTTCCGAGAGAATATCGAGTCGCGACGGCGTCTCGTCACTTCTAAAGGATTACCATAAGGAGAGACTTCGCCTTGTTTCTTCTTTTCCTCCTCCTCCTCTTCCTCCTCCTCTTCTTTACGTCTTTTCTTTAGCCGCTGGAAAAATTCCGGCTCGTGTCTGTTTACCAGCAGAACCTCTTCGAGCTGACCGTTGCCTTCCTGTTGCCTCTTGTGCCTCCTGTAGTGTTTGACACCGTCATAGTCGTTCTCCAGATCGATCTTCTCGTTCTCCGCGTTCTTCTCGTATACTGGACCTTTTTTATGGTTCTCCTCGTTGTCGTCTTGTTTTCCGTACGCGTAATATCGCGGCGCGGTTACCGATCTTTCATTGGACCGATCACTACTATCATCGTCGAAGAGCACCAATATCGGCTGCTTGCTATGGTGGTAATCATTTCGACGGGAAAACTCCACCGATACCTCGTTCTGGAATAAATCCTGAGTTGTCACCAGGAGGCCCAGATTCGGCTCACCACTCATCCAGTCGAGGACGGCTTGCTTCACGTTGAATATCTATATACAAACACTGTTGTTGAAATATCCAATTCAACGCGATATGTTAAATATTTATTTAGTCAAATAGTTGACATTATTTTTTTAACGAGAATTACTGAAATTGTCAAATTTTATTGAATGAAAATGTCAAATTGCATTCATGTTTAATCCTTCGAGATACGAATAATTTGATAAATTATCACGGCAAACTTTTAATTTAAAAACTTTTAAAAAACTCATGTTTAATATTTGATTAAAAATTATTATTGATATCGATGAAATTATCATTGCGGAAGGAAATAAATGTCAATATTGAATCATTATAATGCTCTCACCTGCCAACCGAAAGCGTGCGCACCGACATAACAAACATTCAGTAATCTGTGAAGACCTGGCATATCAAGGCTGCGATCGTCCAGGACTTGATACACTTTTATCTACGTATATCAAAATTTACATTAGAAAATTTATATTAGGAAGTACGATAGATATTTCAAAATATTACAAAAAAATTATGTCAATAAGAAGTAATATTTTTTAAATTTTACACTTAAATTAGTTGTCGAAAGAACAAAATATTATAATTTTTTCTAAATATTTATAACTAATTGGTAGATTGCAATGAAACTTTGCATAAGAAACACTTATATAAAAACATTTAGATTTTGATCACTTTTAATTTTAATTTATACAATAAAAATAGTAACAAATAAAGCAAATAAATTATAAAAATGTGTTGTTTAATAAAAACAGAATATCATTAACACAACTTTTACATGTATAATATACTTTTTTTTTGTTTAAAGTAAAATATTAATATAACATACTATATATGTCGAATCTCCTTACACATCAATACATCAAGTTCACACGTTTGATTCACATGCATGTAAAGATTGACACGCTGATCGACGACACTGATCGTGCCAGGCACTTACACGATAATAAGGCGACATAGGCGTTAATGGATGTACATTCCTCAATGGTATTTTCTTCCAATAGAGATGAAGCTCAGCCTCCAGCACCGATTCGTTCATCTCGAGTCCCGAGACGTTAAAGAAATAGAAGTTCGACAAGAAAGGGTCTACGTGCAAAACAACGAGAAAAACGTTTAAATCGCGACTCTCGCTCTCGACAGTGAATTGTGTGACTTCCGCGAGTGTTTAATGATTATATACTGAAAGAATTACCTCTTTCAACGAAGCTACGCACGATTCTGGCGTTGTACGGATTCCGGCCTCGCGTAACTCCGCTGGAATCGGCGATAGTGTTGTAGAGTTCCATCATGAATTGCGGCGGTACCTTCCGATGGGCCAAATTCTCGTTCTGACTCCGAATACCAAGGATCTGCAATGCGTTCATCATTTTACCGTTAGTGCGAAACTTAGAGATTTCATTGTCTGAAGACGACAAATCGTCAATTTGGGCCGGATGATCGTTGCTTGATTCTCTCATTTACCGTAATTCTTTAAATTCTTTGGAGTGGAATCTCACTCTAAAAAGCGAAAATTGGACCAGTCTTGAAAAAGATTCCATTTTCAGTCTTTTATGGCCGATTTCTTCATCTCTAGGTAACTTTGTTCATGAGATATCTTATGAATAAAATTGTCGGTAACTTAAGGAGTAAATTGACCATAAGAGACTTTACTCTTCAGAATAAAATTCTCTCTAAACATTTTAGAGAGTATCCGATAAATGTCACGATTATGGAGGACATTTATCGCGACGAGGGTTGTCATTATCACCTCTTGTATTTTCTGCAAAACCTCCTCTCGTTGAGGCGCGAGGTCATTCTCGTCTGTTGGTTGAACGAAGGGCCACAATTCTCTGAGTTCTTGCTCGAGACCATCCCTGTCTTCGGTCTGAAGATCCGACTTCGCGTTAACGTCGCACAGAGACGTCAATGAGAGTAGCAGCACTAGGAAACAGCACAGCGCTCTTCTCGTCATCACCGTCGTGGATCCACGTATGTTGATAAAAAAGAAGAGAGGTTCACTCGCGATTCTACCGAGATCCGTTTCCTTGTGCGTGTCGATCCGCTTTCGATCCACTTTCAATCCCGAGGAATCGCACGCGAAAATCGGTCGGCACTGTTAACGTCGTCGTGCATCAGCTTATTCTTTCAAAACGAGAAGGATAATTCAAAGGAGCACTTTCTCTCGAGTCTTTATTTGTCTTTATTAACGTGGAAAAAAAAATGATAGAGAAATATCTTCCACGAGGAGGAGATTTTGCCGAACCGAACGGGATGCTAAGTGGCATATGGGATGTCTTGGCCGCGAGGAGTCACCTTTATGCTACTCCCGGAGTTGCCTCCCCCGCAACTTGTTTGCCCCCCGCAGCGTTAACTCTCTTCCCGCTTCTTTCTCGCTGTCGTTGTCGTCGTTTTCGTTGAACGGGAATCCCCTCGATTCGATTTTCGTGCATTACCAATGTTTGCAATGTTCGTCAATATTTGTTTGCTACGTAAATTATATTAAAAAGCGTTCTACTGGGGAAAATTGAATATTATTATTTTAGGTAGGAAAGGTCCTTCTAAACTCGCATCTTTTGAAAACCTTATCGAAAAGCAAAAAATGTACTGATTATATAGCGAAAAATATTCTCATTAAAAAAATTATGCGGAATTTTCAATTTTGATAGAATACATTTTTTTTATATTTTTAAATTTATAATATCAAAACTAATTTACTGTTAATCATTTTTATGAGTCGCCAATGTCCAATTGTCCAATGTGTTATTAATTAAAACAATTGAGTTTCATTGAAATTTAATACACTTTCTTGAATGAAATTGTTTTAATTAATAATACACACACACTCACACATACATTTTATTATGGACGTTGTTTACCTTGAAATCAACTACACAGATGAATTGATTTACATTTTGACACACACACTGAAAAAAATTTATTAAATCTTAACACATATTTCTTTAAATAGTACTAAGTAATCAACGTTAACTTCAGTAAATAAATATTTACTTAGAAATAATCAAACAAATATTTATTAAAATTTAGTATTTTTTAGGGCACGGAAATAATAAAAATAGCAAAATATTATTTCATTCAAGGAATTAGATCATCATTGCTTCTTTAATATTTAATAGTGTAAGAAAAGGAATGTTAATTAATTCCTCTGATTAAGTTTTGCTTTTTAAGGGAATGATTTACGAGCACTTTTTACGATGACCGATTAACCGATCAAAATCGATAAAAGAAGCAAGACTTTAAAAGGGCCGAGAGATATAAGGTCGCGCTATAACGATGACACCGCGTGGCTATTAAAAACAGCAAGCGCTTCCTAAATTCCGCGGATTCGTAAGTGCCGAGTTATGTGATTTGTCACGCGGCGATATTTAGGCGGATTTGACGTCGACGATTTATTTGTCCCTCTCTAACGAGAGACTCGCGAGGGCCGATTATTTATTTCGATAAATTTTTCTTGTCCGTCAACTATATTTTCATATGATTTTTATTTTTCTAATTCGAAGCTTTATCCGATTGCGGAGTCGTTCGCGTTGCATTGTCGGCCAATAATCGCGTTATGCAAAACCTCGCTTATCAATAAACGTCCACCCACGTGGCGGACCAACGTCGTCACACGCCCAGATCGCAAAAGACGTAGCGAAATATTTATCAATTGTTGGACGCGATAGAGCTATACTTATCGAGGAATCTCTAATTTTAGCGCATGATTAACTCTATCGTAGTAAACAACTTTTCGTGGGTGTGTCCTACTAAAATTGGGACAATCAGGCACGTGAAGGAGATTGATTTGCCGCTTTAATGCAGACATAATGTAGTGCATGAAATGCACAAAAAATCGAAAAAGGTCCTCGTCAAACTTGTTTCCCTTCATAAAAGCTTCATTATCGCGGTAAATATATTATGTATATTTACAGAATATACAGGAAGTACAGATAGGAAGAAAGATATTTGTCTTATTCGTAAAAACATCGTTGATTTATTTAGTCACATGGATTTGTAGTACATACATGTACATGATGTACCTAGGAACATGAATGTATGCGCAAAATATGTTTAACAAGCTGTCTTTCTCTCTCTCTCTCTCTCTCTCTCTCTCTCTCTCTGTATTGCTTTCTTTTATTTTTTTCTCTCATCTTCGATTCGATTTAGGCTATTCACGGAATAATATTTTCAGTCTAGACACAGGCACACTGAGTAATTTGAATTATCTCTCTCTTCGCTCCTCGTCGGGTCCTAGAAATTCCAAATATGATAAATTAATAAACATTAAATATTTGATTGGAAATTAAATTTTTTTCTTTAAATGTATTCTCTAAATTACTTGGAGTAAGATCTTATTTCAAAAAAGTTAAAATAGATATACTGCCACTATTAAAGAAGAGAGAAAAATTTGCACTCTTGAATAAGAGTGGCAGATTCTCACTTTTTTTTTTTTAAGTGACATTCCTTTCAAAGAAAAGAAATCTCATTCTTTTTTTGGAATAAATCTCACTCCAAAAGTGTGAAATCACTCCAAAAAAAAAATGAGTGAAAATCTGCCACTCTTATTCAAGAGTGCAAATTTTTCGCTCTTTTTCAATAGTAGTTTTCATTTTTTTAACTCTTTTGGAGTGAGAAGTTCACTCCAAGAAATTTAGAGAGTACATGATAATAGTTGGAATTTTTTAAGTGTTAAAATTTTTGGAGTAATCATGGAATAATAATTCTACCTGTACTCGTGCACTTTAAATCTGGCCGGTGTGCAAGTGTGCTGCTTCGAATACAGACCGGCTAGGCATCTGGACGGCTCTTTTTTATCTCGTAAAAGACAGGTTTCCGTTTCATTTCCCGGACACGTTCCGACGCATTGACCGACGTTTATTTGCTATCAAAAATAACAGACAAAATAAAAGGGATGAAAAAATATTTTTTAAAAAATTCGAACAAAGCCGCAAAGTAATATGTACACCGACGTAAAATTCTTATTCTCTGTAACAATCAGTTAAGAGTCGAATATATATTTCATACTCGGATCACAGGTCTCACGTCAGTCGTATTTGTACCCTCTTTGATCGTCACCTCGCTGTAATCCAGCACAGTTTCCATGTGGTCCATTCGATAACAATGACCGGCGCAACCGCATTTCTCGACTACTTGGTAAATCTCGTCACCTTGAAAATGACACAATTTTTAATTCAGATATATTTATAAATGACTCTGATTTTTAGACTTCTATTCTCTGTAACCTTTAATGAAAGTCTCGACATTATTATTTCACTATTATTTCACATTTTCGTTATGACGGAATTTAGTTATATTATCGTTACATTTTTCATGTATAAAACCTGCACAACGACAATGTAACGACATTGACACTGTCATTAAGAGTTACAAAATGGAGACCTTAATCTCATGTTTATTTTACGTACCATTTGGCCCTTTGGCGCTGATTGTGTTATTCCGGACCGGCTTGCAATCCAGATCTTGAAAGACATAAATAAAATGTTAATTTTAATTTTCGAATCCCACAAAACTTTTTAATTATACATAAAAATGAATAAGATAGATAAAGAGAAAATCATAGAAAATATTGGAGAATCAGAATATTTGAAATAACTCTGTTGCCGAAGACAATGCACGCAGAGATAATCGCGGCTGGACCATCGTATTTCTTTTTATGATGCTCCAGCCGTGATTATCTTTGTGCGACTGGTCCACCAGCCACCTTTAGTCACGGTTCGGAAAGTTCTTACGAAGTTGATACCTTTGGCGCAATGACCGATGCAAACTCCGATGTCCACGACTGCTTGGTGTGGCGTACCGGAATGTACATAATGGATATAGGATTCTCGTCTGCAGGATGTTTCTGGCGAGCAATCGCAAGCGTCTATAGCCTCGATTACACGAACACCCTGCAACGTAGATACTCGTTCCAGCTTGGCGGCTCTCGCACGACAATGGAAATCCGATGAACATTTCTGAAAGACAAGCAGAAATATTCATGAACAATTATATGGGAAAAAAGAAAACATTCTGTTCTAAAACATTGTAACATTGTGATAAAACTGGCGCATAGATTAATTCTTGAATCCATAATTTTCTTTGATGATAAATTTCACGATCATGTTCAATTAAATGTTGTTGAAAGATTCTTTTAAGGTATCTTAAAAAATTGCCGAAAAAAGGAAAAGGTTTTGAATATCACAGAATAAAAAAGCAGTAAAGATTCCTTATCCAAGAGTTAACATACGCTGCTAAAGCTTATTTTACAATGTGCTCTTTGTTTCCTGTTTCTTGTTTTTTTGCTTCTTGCTCTTCCCCCTTTACAACCGTTTTATTGACAATTGTATTTCTTGCTACGTGTTTCCTGTTTCTTCCGAAGTTCGTTAACTTTTATCTCGGGCGACATAAAACAAAAAACCGGATAAGAAGCAAAAAGACATAAAAAAGATATAAAAAAATAGCAAAAAGCAAGAAATAGAAAATAAAAAGCACATTGTAGAATAATAGTTCGCCAACTAATCAACATGCGACTGCTTCACCATTTTAGCATAAAAAAGAAAAATGGCTCTCGGCTATTTTACGATGGCTGTAATAAAGATACGCTCGCGTCATTCGCTTATCGAGGATCATATTAGAGTCGTTTCAATAAATCTTCCCTCCCCCTTCCCCTCCCCCCGGGGACCGCCTTCATCCATCCAAAATCTAACGGATGCATAATTCCGGGATTTAGTGGCTGGACATTCCGGCGCCGTCGAGAGGATCGGTGACCGCGGGTGCCGATTCGACCTTCGAAGGACGCAAAACATATCGCCTTGATCGCCTTGCGTTTCGCGTTCAACAGCCTCCTTTCCCCGATATTTCATTGGGTCCAGCCTCAACGAGCCATCATTTAGCACGGCTGCTGTAAAAGACCGTATCCGCGCCATGGACCGATCAGATTGCGTCACGTAACGAAAATAGCCCTCCTTCGAAAGATCCGGAATATCATTCAGGAAGATGTCAGTATCGAAAAGGATGAGCGTTTGCAAAGATTCTATTATAGGATAAGATTTTTTTTATCTTTTCGACGATGGATTAAGATAAAATTTGACAACGAAGTCAGTCGTAGTCGTCAGATGGGATTTATACCACGTGTGATTGAACGCGTAAATAGTGAACCAGTGATGCCAGACGGCAAACATTTGCAGCATGTTGAAAGGATTTTGCAGAAGCGAGGATTTTTCGTCGAAGCGAGGAAAGAGCTTCGTATACTGAAAGAAAAGATTGACTGCCGCAG